GAATCAATTATTTCTAGTTTGTAAGCACCCAAATCAACTGGCAGTGTCATATAAGAATGCACCACCAGGTGGCAGTATGTGACCATAGCCTAAGGAAATACCTCCCAGTCTAAGTTAGAAACATTATAATGTTGGCCTCAGAGTGGGAAGGAAATATAAAAAAAAAATCAGGATCAGAAATTGAGTCTGCTCTTCTCCCTCCCACCCTGTCTTTCTCCTGGCCCAAAAGGGCCCTTGGGCCTTGTGTGGGTTTTCTGCTTAACCAGACTGACACTCCTGTATCTCGACCTTTAGAGAGAAGTTGGTATGGGGGTTGGGGGTCACTGAGAAAGCAAGCCTAAGCAACAACAGATGTGCAATTCGGTCCTTATTTTGTATTTTCTTTTTTGAATGAAAGGAGTAAACATGGAGCACTGAACCTGTGATTATGAAGAACAAAGTGAATGAAGTCTACCTGTATATGTGAATTATAGAAACAATGTATCTGGGGATATGAAAGGTATGTTTGCAAACACAGAGGAGAAGACACCAAAATAAGAGAGATGCCAAAAAGCCACAGGGCTGCCTCAGAACATAACGGATCTCTGGTTAAACATGTAAGTGCTAACAGAGACTATTATTTTACACATATATATACAATAACTGGTGTGGTTATACATAGAAAACTCAGTGACAGAATGGTGGTGAATGGAAGAGCTCATAAAGATCCCCTCATTCAAGGGAGGAAGCTGAGACTCAGCTACGTCCAGGGATGTGATCAAGGTCACCCAGCTAGTGAGTCAACGGGGCAGGGAACAGAATCCACGTCTCTAAGCTGCTAGTCCGAAGCCATTTCCACGACACCATCCTGGTTTTGTATTTATGTTTTATTTCGACCCTTTGCTGCTAAACTACTCAACAGTATGTGACCAGGGTTTCTCAGCCTCTGCACTATTGACATTATGGCTGGGTCAGTGGGGGCTGTGCTGTGTGCACTGGAGGGTGTTGAGCAGCATCCCTGGTCTCCACCCATTAGATGCCAATAGCACCTCCCTGGCAGCCCCCTCAGTTGTGACAACCAAAAATGTCTCCACATATTGCCAAGTACCTCCCAAGGGCAAAAACGCCCCTGGGTGAGCGTTTGCTATACGCTATAGCGTTTGCTATAGCCATTATGCTATACGAATTATCTAGTGTTCGCCTAAATGAACGTCTAAAATAGTTCTGCTGTGCAAAGAAAAGTTACTTAAATGGGCTGAACTTCAGGAATGAGAGATCAACTTGTTCTTGATCCTCTGTAAAATCAAAGGAAGTTAAAGTTGCTGGAGGTTGGCTCCAAAAAGCACAGGGTTCAAGATGAGGAGGGTTGAGGCCCAGGCCCTGCTTTGTGCACAAGCTATCAGCTGGAATATTCTCTAGAACAGCAGTTTGGTTTTCCACGTGGGCTACAAGCTGACAGACCATGGCAGCAAGTAGAAGCTAAATAAACACCGACTGGATGAAGTTCGCTGTGGCTACATGTTTCTCGATTTGAAGACCACCAGAGAAATTGATTCAGTAGAAAAGACTGACGCTTACTGGCATGTCTTTTGAAATTACGCCAATTATTTTTCATTTCTACTTTTGATAGAATTATGTCCTTGAAAACTATAAGGACAAAGGATAAAGAGATAAAGTCACAGGGGCATAGGAAGTAGAGATTTCCACTGGGCTACAACCAGACACGGGTCCACATGCTGGTCTGAGGCAGGCACGTACAGAACGTTCCATCTGGGCACATGCCCTGGAGAGTTCATTAAGGTCCTAGTACCTCTTTACCAGCCTCTGACTGTGGAAGACTATGTGGTTCTTACCCTCATTTTCAACAACTAAGCACATTCTGAAAGCAAGCCGGACACCTGGGAAACACGAGTTCGTCAATTTCCGTAACCTTTCCAGGACACAGACCCGAAGGACCTCCAATGACAGAGCAGCCCAGTGCTCTTCCTAGTTCTATCAATAGTGCTAAGCGTAAAGCTCACTATGCAACTGAAGAGCCAGCTGGCTTCAATGCAATTGCACATGATTTCGTCCCTGCATTTGAAACCTTGCTACCACAGGACTTACTTGCACCTGTGGGAGTGGCAGCCACCTGGGGTACTCGCTCTCGAGGTCCTTCCCCGTCCCCGGGGAATCCGTGTGGCTGAAGGCATGTAGTACCCGGCAAGTCTTCATCCCCCAAAGCAGAGGGCTGGGCCCGCAGTCTGTCTAGGGCGCCCAGGCCTGGCACCTCAAAACCGTCCCCCAGCTGGGCCAAGGGCGAGTCCCGCGAGGCCGGGAGGAAGGGTGTGTCCAAGGGCGAGCTCGGGGGAGACAGAGAGGACAGGGAGGAGCGAGAGGACAAGGACGCCAGGGACTGGGGCGTGTCCAGGGAGCGCCTCTGCTTGTGGAAGCCCGAGGGGCCCGGGGGATCCGAGAAGGGGGCATCTCGTGCCAGGGAGTCGAAGGGAATCAGGTCAAAGCGCAGAAGCTGGCCGCACTCGGCGTCGGGTTTCTCGTACTGTGGAAGGCCGTAGATGTCGGTGAAGCTGACGGAGCTCAAGGAACCCCGGCTGGAGGCGAGCGAGCCCCGGCTGGAGGCCAGGGACCCGCGGCTGCTCCCCGAGGACACCGTCAGGGTGCTGGCAGACAGGCTGAAACGAGAGCGCCCCGCGATCTTAGAAGAGCAGCCTGAAGATCGGCGCTTGCGCCCCGCTGTTCTCCACTGCAAAGCGGAGCATCTGGTGTGTTCCACGGGGGAACAAAATCCTGCCTCACTCTCCCATTAACCCGGCATGTCTTTAAACACCTGCCAGCCATTAAGGCACCTTCATTAATATTTGTTTCTTTTGAATGTCGGTAGAGTGCGGTGGTTAATGTCAAGGACTCACGCCCGAGTTCAAGGGTCAGCTCAAATGTGCACGGGCTGAGTCCACTTGGTCAAGTTATTTGCCCTTTCTGAGCCCCCCACATTCTCACTGGGGGCTGTGATAATAACAGCTCGTACGTCATGGCACTCTTAGGAGGAATAACTGAGAAAATAAGACATAGGAAGCCCTCAACAGGATGCCTCACAACACACTAAACGCTTCAAAACAGGAGCTATTATTGAGCAGCCAAATTTTATTTTAAAAATATTCATATCCTGGGGCCGGCCTGGTGGGGTAGCAGTTAGGTTCCTGCACTCCGCTTTGGCGGCCCGGGGTTCGCAGATTCAGATCCCAGGTGCAGACTGACGCACCATTTATCAAGCCATGCTGTGGCGGCATCCCATATATAAAGCAGAGGAAGACAGGCACGGATGTTAGCCCAGGGCCAATCTTCCTCAGCAAAAAAGAGGAGGATTGGCAACAGATGTTAGCTCAAGGCTAATCTTCCTCTCACACACACAAAAAATTCATATTCTTAAAAGAAAAACCCAAATAAAAATGTCCGTGTGCATATACAGAGATGGATATATACACTTCTGAAACTGAATTACAAAATCTTTGGGTAAATTTGACTTCAGACTTGTTATTCTGTAGCCAAATTTGGTTCTCCTCATATTCCTTGAATCTTAGATTTGCAGCTCCTCTTAAAAATATAATATACCCACTCTCCTGTTCTGTGTTTACAGCACTTCAGGTTCTAAGGTCCGGTAGAGAACACCAAGCTAAAGGGAATGATGAGGTTCATGGACATGTCGTTATCAGATGATAATTAAGTCCAGCTTTCTCTTTCCACGTTTCCCACCTTTTTAACTGGGACTGGAGATACGATGTTAGGCGGGTAGCTTCTTCCAGCTGCATAAGGAGACAATTTCTCTTTTCCTGAAGCAGAATCCTGTAGGTAAGAAAATAGTCCATTTCAAAGACAGTGAGTATATTTTCCTAACAAGAAATTTAACTATAAATTCCCCCAAATTGATTTAAGTTTGAATGACTAAATTTTAAAAAGCACATCTAGGTCATGAACACCAAGATAACAGAGACTGTTTTTGTTTTGCCTGAAAATGTGCCACCAGCCCCCTGAACAGTGCTTGATACACTGTAGAAGTTCAATAGATGGGTGGGTAGGTGGGTAGGTGGATGGGTGAGCGGATGAGTGGCTGGGTGGGTGGGTGAACAGGTGGATGGATGGACAGATGGGTGAGTAGATGGATGGGAGCAATGAACGGATGGATGGATGGACAGATGGGTTGACAGGTGGATGAACATACAGATGGATGAGAGACTAGACTAGAAGATGGATTCAAATGAAGAGCATTTACTAATGTACTGGAATTCCTTGCAACAAATCAGATTCCCTCATTCTAAGCCATCTTCCAGGCAAAAATACATGCAATTCTAAAATCTATAGAATTAGGGGCCAGCCCGGTGGCATAGCAGTTAACTTCGCATGCTTCAGTGGCCCGGGGTTCACCAGTTCTGATCCTGGGCGTGGACCTACACACCAGTCATCAAGCCATGCTAAGGCGGCATCCCACATAGAAGAACTAGAAGGACATACAACTAGGATATACAACTATGTACTGGGGCTTTCGAGAGGAAAAAAAAAAAAGGGAGCCTTTTAAAAAAAAAAAAAACAAAAAATAAAATAAAATCTATAGAATTAAAAGATTAGACACAAATAAAACAAAATAGCAACTGTCACAGGGTTGGAGGTAATTTTTTTCTTCTTTCTACTTTTTTCTACTTTACTATTTTCTTTTTTTTTAAAGATTTTATTTATTCAGTTTTTTCCCCCCAAAGCCCCAGTAGATAGTTGTATGTCATAGGTTCACATCCTTCTAGTTGCTGT